GAAGGGGCTGGGTCCTACTCTAACCTTCAAGGCCTGACCCATGATGACAGAAGACCTCCCAATAAGCCTCACCTTTTATTGGCCCCACCACCTCCCAATAGTGCCAAGCTGGGGACCAATCCTTTAATACATGGGCAATGAGAGACATTTAAGATCCAAACTATGTGTCATCAGGGGAGCAGAGAAGTACCACAGTAAGTTGGGTTTAACTAAGGACAGGAGGTTTTCCAGGGGAATTCAGAGGAAGAGGGATAAAGAGAAGGTTTAATTATAGATGGTAGAATCTAAGTTAGTTAGGGACAAAATCGAGGTCTTTTGTGATAGATGAAGAAAAATGGTAGTCACAGCTTAGAGGATCCATTGGAATAAAAAGAACCATTGAAGTGAGAGGTGCTTTGTGGACCAGAAATAGGAGAAATGGGTCATAATCATACCTTTATCCCAAGTGCCAGACATATGGTGAATCCTTGGATGTTCCACTGAAGAAGCAACACATAAATAAAGTAAGTAATTAAGTACTTTCTGAGAATTTTTTTTTTCTGATGAATCTTTCTAAGTCCAGTTCAGAGTGTTTTTTTGTTTTTTTTTTTCTAAAGATTACTATGCTGCTAGCTCAGGTCGAGATCAGAATCTACTCTGACTAATTTAAGTAGGCAGCTATTACAGGTATACCATTGATTCTGCCTTCAGTATTACAGAATATTAAGTAGATCACAGGATTGATGAGAAAGCTGAGGCAACAGCTTGGATTTCCAGAAATAAGTAACTGCTATAGCTACATTATAGAACCGAGCTTAACAATTGCTATGACTATCATGGTTGATGCCTTCATTCCAGGGCAAGTCAGCAAGACAAAGAGCAAAGGGAACCATCAAATAAAATTAGGGATATTCAACCCATAACTTTCAGTGTCCTAGATCAGTTTTCCCACTTTGGAGTGTTGTCCATAATGTACTATTCCTTCATTTGACTTTGTGTGACACTGTGTGTGTGTGTGTGTGTGTGTGTGTGTGTTTGTGTGTGTGTGTAAGGGGAGTCAAGTTTATCAGCTGAAGTAGCCTTGTTACTTTTTCCTTTATATAATAGTTTTCTAAAACTTTGTTTTTGCCTATTTCTATTCTGGAAATTTGGGGTAATGCTTACAAGGTTCCTTGTAAAAGAGTACTCCCTTCTGTCAGAGCAGCAAAGTACAGTCTTTAATAATAAGTAGTTTTGTTGTTAGTGACGGGGTGCTTGAGAGAGTTCTGAGACCTCTTATTTTTGTTTATTCAGTCTCTTGACAGCACATGGATTAGTCCAATTTTCATAAGTATAAGAAAGTACCTGAGGCACATTACTTTATAAGAGAAAGAGGCTCACTTAGCTCACAATTTTAGAGGCTGAAGGTCCAAACAGCAATGCTCAGCTTCTGACATGTGTCCCCCTTGGCCACATCACCGCATGGTGGGAATGTGTGCATCTGTGTAGTCTCTCTCCCACTCCTTATAAAGCCAGCAGGATTCGATCACAGGGCCTCCATGCTCATGATCTCATTTTATCTAATCACCCTCCAAATGCCCCACCTCCAAACACCTCGGTAGAATTGTTTCTAACATCTTAATACTATAAACATAAATTCTGAGATTTAATTTTGTAGGAGTTCGAGGAAGCAACCATATTCAAGATAGTACATTTCTCTTTGTTCCTTTCCCCTTTGTTTTCCAATCTGCAAACTGTCTCATTTGTTATGATGAAACTATTCTATTTTAAAATTAACTTTTTTACAACAGTTTTGGATTTACAGAAAAATTGAGAAGACAGTTTCCATCTACATGTACTTCCCCACAGGCATAGTTTTCCCTCTTCTTAAAATGTGCTAATAGTGTGGTACAGTTGTTACAATTAATGTGCCAGTACTGCTATATTACTATTTAGCCTGTAGTTTACATTAGGGATTCTTTTTTGTGTTGTGCGGTTCCCTGAGTTGTGACAAATGCATAATGTGCTGTATCCACCACTACACTATCACAAAGAATAGTTTCACTGCCTTAAAAATATGGAGCACCCTGAATAATGGAGTGCTTCACCCAGTCATCCCCAACTCACCTCACCCTCCAACTCCTGATCTTCCCCTTGAGTTTTGTCTTTTCTGGAACATCATTTACTTAGAATCATGCAGTATGTAGCAATTTCAGACAGCTTCTTTCCTTTAGCAATATACATTTAAGTTTCTTTCACGTCTTAACACAAGTTGGTAACTTTTATCAATGAATTATATTCCACTGTATGGTTATATCTACTTGTTTATTCACTAATTGAAGGATAGCTTGGTCATTTCTAAATTTTGGCAATAACGAATAAAGCTACTGTTCTGATTTACATCTAAAATGTCCCCCCAAAGTCTCATGTGTTTGAATGGTGATGGATCACAGAGACACTGTACTCAACAGTGAATTCATCGACTGATGGTTCAGAAGCTGAATGTGATTGGGGCCTGGCTGGAGGTGGACCGCTGGCAGCGTGACCTGCAAGTGTGTATTCTTGTCTGTGGCTTCTCTCTCTGCTTCCCAGCTGTCAGGGGTTACCTCTATTCTTATCTTTTTCTAAATCCCTCTTCCATGACAAATTTGGTTTTTATTAAAAATAAATTAAAAGGGCACTATTTTGCTTATAAAAATTATTCAGTTGCTTCCCATCAACTGCAGTGATTTTTCCAAATATATTCCTAGAGAACTCAAGACTCAATACAATTGCCTCAGTCTCTAAGTTTGAGGCAAAAGCTAGATGTGTTCCTCTACTAATCAATCCTCTTTAATCTTCAATTCAGCTGCTTAGTGAGCTTAAATATGTGTGCAAATTTTTGTCAAAAAGATTTCTAAAAGTTGCCAGATGTGGTGGCGCACACCTGTAATCCCAAGACTTGGGAGGCTGGGGCGGGAGGATCACTGTGAGTTTGAGGCCAGTCTGGGCTACATAGTGAGTTCAAAGGCATGTCGAACTGTACACATCCTGTCTCATAAAAAAACAATGAAACAACAAAAGATTTCCCCCCCAGAAAAACCTCTTCACCAAGTTGCTTTTAGGTATTCAGATTTAATTTATTATTATCATTATGCAAAACCCTCACACATCAAGTCACTGAGTCATTTGCTCAATGAGAAAGAGTTTCACACCTTTACTCTTTAGTTATTTCTTATACTTGTAATGCTATATTCTATGTCTTAGGAAAATTCTGAAACAAATTCATTTTAAAGATAACAAAAATCTGTAATGTCCACAGGCAGTTCCTCATTCTCCTTTCCATAATTATATATAGTACTTTGTACACACCATCACAACCCCACCACTCCTATTTTTTCATTATTTAATAATTTAGTTTGTTATTTTATTTGTACATGCTTGCAGTACATCTTGCATTCCGTGTGTGGAGTTGAGACCTGTTCATAGTATATTTTGATTCCCTTTTTCACTCCTCCCCATTCCCGCCCTCCTCCCTACCTCTTTTCTCTATCCCCTCCCCATCTGAGACTTACCTTGCTACTTCCTATTATCTACCTTTTAATTTGGTCTTTATATTTGTTTGATCTTGGACAAGTAACTGCTCTAGTGCATTGTTTTCCTCATCTTCAAAATGCAAGCAAATATAATACCTAGTTGACAGACGAGAGGGTTAAATGTAGTACTACATAAAAGGTTTTAGAAGAGTACCTGGCATACTATTTTATCAAATGTTAGGTATAACTATTACTAGTAATATTACCACTGCCACTACTTATCTACATGGGTCTATTAAAATATGAGCTCAAAAGGCTTATTTCTGTAAGCAGCAGATCGCTCATAGTAAGAATTCAATGTTGGAATTGATCTACATTCTCCAATATGGAGTATGAATATTCTCAGTTATTTAACATTGTCCTTATCCCTTCTTGGCCTTTTGGCTAAGATCAAGTGTATTTAATGTTATCCTCAGATTGAGATTATTTGTTCTTTCATGTCTTCAAGATTCTTCTTTTTATAAGAGATGTTATTTGATATGACTTTTAATTTCCTGATTATGCTTTTTGCAGCAAAGGAAAACAATTTAAGTCTATTATTTGATGTATTGAAATGTCAGAGGCAATTTTCTGTTACCTAAAGTTTCACTAGATCTATTTAACTGGTACAGATGACGGTTAATTTTATGTCAATTTGCCCCGGCCACAGTGCCCAAGTAGTGGTCAAATATTACTCTGGATATTTTTGTGAGGGTATCTGTGAATGAGATTAGCATTAAGATAAGTAGACTTTGAATAAAACAAGATTGCCCTTCCTAATATGGATGGACTTCAACAATCAGTTGATGTCCTACACTGTACAGAACAAAAGACTGATGTCCCCTGTGCCAGGACTTCTGTAATGAAGGACCTTTGGACTTCAAGCACTACACTGTCATCTCTCCCCTGGGTCTCTAGCCTGCTGACCCATGATGTAGATTTAGACTTGTCTCCAAAATCGTATGAGCTAACTGCTGAAAGTCTTTCTCTATGCATATCTATCTCTAGATAGATATCTCCATATAGCTCATATAAATATATATCACATATTTATATGAAAATTTATATGTTACATATAACTAAATTTATATCTCTAACATATATATAATTTATCTATAAACATATATCTTTTCATATATAAAATATGTATATAGTATATATATATTTTACATATTATATATATAAAAGCTCCTTCTGCTTATCTGGAGAATACTAATTCACCCACCTATAGAAAATGTACATGAAATTGATATAGATTCATCTATAATCACTTAAATTTAAAAAAACCTTTATTTGGAAATTTTACAATTAAATATATTTAAAAATATATATGTATATAACATAATTAGAGAAATCTAATTATATATGATATATAAATATACAGATACATAATTATACATTGGAAGATTAAGAATCTCTGCAGTTTTCCCCTCCTTTATTCTCTTTTGATAACATCCTATTTTTATAGAGTAAAAAAATACAAAGGGGAGAAATTATTGCATTTTTATTTTAAATTTTTTTTTTATATTCTTGACTCAAACTCTGAATCATGTATATGAATACAAAAGTGAGTACAGGTGCTTTAAACTTGGACAAAATCCTGCTACAATATACATTTTTAAACCAAATTACCTATTTTTACAACAGTGAAAAACTAAACAAGAAAGTACATACGAAAATATAATGATTAGAACGTTTTCTTTTTACATATATGGTTTCCAATGGAAGTTAAGTGTTCCCATCACTTTAAAAATCCAGATACAATGCAGCCAATAGACTTATATTAATTATAACATTATCTTCCATTAATAGTTTATTCACTGTGACTCTTTGAAGCTCCATGAAGGCTCATCAGCTAATCTCTTCAGGTCAGAATCACAACCATATTTTCAGCACTCAGTCAAAGAATAATGAAAACGCCAGGGCCCGGGAAAATGGGTAGGTGCCAGTAAGTTATGAGGAGGTGTCCTTCAGATAATGCCAACCTTAACTAAGCTTCACAGTGGCCTCTGCGCAAGCAGTAAAAGAGAAGTCTTTACTGCTGAGGGCACTGAGTCTCTGGAGCTGATTTGGAGGACACGTACAGAATAGGGTGTGATTTCTTACCAGGCTCCTTTTCCAACTTGCTTGCAGCTTCTTTCCCTTCTTTAGCTTCTGTCTGAAGCTGTGCTTCAGCAGTTAACCTACAGGCATCAAAGCATGCACTCTGAATTCAAATGAGGTTAAGAAAAACTAAAGAAGACACAAACCCTAGTAGGATGGGCCTCCACTAGGCATGGTGATATTTTAAAAAATGTATACAAGGAAAAAAAAATTATAGCTAAGGGCCAGGGACATAGCTCAGTGGCACAGTGCCTGCATGGCAAGCACGAGGTCCTGAGTTCAATTCCTAGTAAAAAAAAAAAAAAAAAAAAAATTATAGCTAATTCCAATATCATGAAGAATACTAAATGAATGCCTCTTTAAAAGAATTTTTATATCGATAGCTTAATTTTTAAAAATGTCTAACATATTTTTAAGGTTAGTAAAAAGGCCTGGCAAGTCCTACATTTAAAAATTACATATAGTAGGATACATACAACATAAAAATTAAAATGCTAGAGTAATATTTTAAAATTCACATGATACACAATAGGCTAAGCACAAGATAAAATTAACATGGAATCCTGGGCTGCATGAGTAGATTTCTATTTGTCTCACACAAAGGAAAAAAAACACCTCAAATTTACTTTTAACTAGCAGAATTAGGAAAGAAAATAAACAGTGGCCAAGACATTTAAAAAGAGTTGTGAAGGTTTTTTTTATAGCAAGAGTATCAATTAAATTTATAAAGCATGCAATAGTGAAATTCCCAATAAAACCAATCTTTATTGTTACAAAATTACTTCAGATTGTGTGTCTAAGTTAAGCATGCAGAAAACAAAAGGTTGGAAACATCTTAAGTTAGCAGAGGGACACACACACACACAAAACAGATAATTTGTGGCATTTTATTTGCTTTTGTTTAAACAGCAAGACAAAAATTTTCCAGTTAAGATTTGATCAAACAATTAGCTACATACATTTTTTCAAGTTAAAAAGAGCAGAAAAAGAAAGGCAACAGACATAGCAAGGGCTACAGTGATCAACTCTGGACACCCACTTTCAGAAATACACACATGCCAAGTGCACTTACACAAGTGCATCACATATAAACAAGCATAAACTGAGTTCATTTGAGGACAACTTGGAACCAAGTATACATGTCACATATCCATTTGAAGTTGTTTTCCTAAAATATCAACATTTTACTTATGTGACTTAGTGTTTATAACATCATGTAAAAATTCAAGGAAGGAAATGAGTCTTCCTTATAATTGTAACAACAGCTAATACTATTGTCTCATTATTGAGTACGATCGTTAGAAGCACTAAAGACTGAAAGAAAAATAAGACAAAACATACATGGAGGTCCTTTTACATGAAGTAGCTGTGTCTTATTTCAATCAAATGCACACTGCTCAAGTGTGATTTGTACCCCTCCCTCTAAGACTGATGTAGCCCTGGAACCAACTTAAACATCTCATTTTTGTGTCTTTCCAGGAAATGATCTAAGTTAGCTACTGACAGATCAATAGATGTAATTTTTCAGTGGCTAAACAGATTTATCTTAAATACACCTATGACTGCATCGCATACAGACATCCTTCACCTTTTCATAAAACGTTTGCCTTGTCTATTTTCCCGTCCTTGTTTTAATCTCACCCTTCATCCTGCTTTGCATCCAATACACGAGCTTCAGTTTCCTACTCCTCCCTCCACTCACTTTCTCTTACTTTCTTACTTTTATTGTATTTACTTTTAAAGGACAAAGCCCGCTAAACATTAATTCAGATACACATGTCTGACGCTTTCTTTTTTAGTCACTAGCTCAATTTTGCAAAAACTAGAGGCTTTGAAGTTTTAGAAAAATGAAAATAAATTAGCTTTGATACTAAAAAATGTCAAAATAGATATCAAAGCCCATTTCTGAAGGCTTGGTATAAACAACATCAAAAGCCATAAAAAATTTCACCTACATCTTCTGAGCAAAACATCTCATACTACTGGAAAGCACTCTAAGAAGATAAGTTAATTATTCTTTCATGGCTACTCTTGAACCAGGAGAAAAATAATAGTACATTTATTCAAAACAAAAAAATACTCAGAGCATTAGTCTATGATATTTCCATTTCATAAAACAAAAAAGTTTAACTTTTTAATACGATTCTCTTGTTCAGGAGTCTTTTCCCCTTGCAATCATTTTAGTCTTTCTTAAAGCTCTGGAAAAGTTGAAGGCAGGCAGATGAAACTGGAGAATTACACTGCATGCAACGCTAAGGAGATAGATGAAGAAGCAAACAGTATAGTTCATGCAGCGAGAGAGAAGAGGTGGAGAGGTCTGCCGGCTGCCCTGAAGAAAAGAGGACACTGACCTGGGAGAGCAGGGGGCATTTCCACTTCTTCCACATAAGGCCTCAGCATCAGCTGGATCATCTATGAGCCTGACACATTTCTTTTCTTTCTTTGGCTGCATATCCACTGGCAGATTTTTGCGAGGAGAGAAAGAGGCTGTGGGCGTGTTTACAGAAACTGGTTCTTCTAACTGCAAGTTGGTATCCTCTGCGTTGTTAGGACTGGACTGTGCCTCCACTTTCTGAGGTGGGAATCTAGAAACTTCGTCCCCGTCAGCACTGTTGGCACAGGAGTCTTTATGGACGGTTACATCCACAGGGAGCACCTCACGCCTCTTTTTGAGTACAGGCACTTCAGTTTTCTCTGAGAATAAAAACCATTTTAAAAAGTGGTCAATAAATAACAACAAAGCCACAATCAATTCAAGGAAGAACAAGCTATATATAAACTATTTTCCTTTTTCCCATTCTCTTAAAATTCACTCACCTTATGAAACACGGTGTTTCTTTTATCCTTTCTTTTGCACAGAGTCCACTTAGTTATACCTTTTAAAGTTCATTCAACCATAGACTTTTCCTTGGGAACCAATATATATAATTCTAGGAATGAACAGAACGTTCACTTCTAGTGTTTTCAAAAAAACTGTAAAGGGGAATGCTGCATAAGATCTCAGCCCAAATGGAGATAGAGGTGCAATGAGAGAGTCAAGGAGCCTGAGTTCAAGTCCTAGTACTATGCCAGCCATGGCTGCACTGTAATCCCAGCATTCTGGGAGGCTGAAGCAGTAGGATCTCAAATTTGAGCCCTGCCTGGGCAACCTATTGAGACCCTGTCTCAAAATAAAAAATAAAGGGCTAAGGATGTAGTTCAGTGCGAAGGCCCTGAGTGTTTAACTTTCCTGCACTTAACATGGGAATTATAAGCACCCACTTCATGCACGGTGGTGCGTTGTAAGGATTAAATGAAAATAACATGTCTTACTTTGAATATTGGTAATTTGTGACAGTCAGCCCCACCTACAGAATATATTCAGAATCTGACTACTTCTGTAACACACATCTTCCCTGTCCCAACCATATCATGTTCCACCGCAGACACTGTGACTGCCTTTCATCCTCGAGGCCTAACATCATCCTAACTTCCGTGTAAGTCACTGAATTAAATGCTGACACACCCCCTCGCCCCAGTGTGTCTTCATTTTCAAAATCAAAATGCTAATAGAGCACTTGAGAGGCTGAGGCAGGAAGATCACTGTGAGTTCGAGGTCAGCCTGGGCTACAGAGTGAGTTCATGGCCAGCCTGAACTATATAGGGAGACCCAGTCTCAAAAAACAACAACAAAAAGCTATTGGAATCCACAGAACCATGGTAGGAAAAGGGGTTGGTGTTCTTGCTCCACACTGTTGCTTTCAGGTCATTACTTCCCTTTCCTCTTGCATGGCTTCTTTGAAATCCACATCTTCTGAATTTACTACCCAATCCCCTGTCTCTTTGCTATGTTCTGTTCAACAGACCTTTGAAATTTGTCAGAAAATTCTTAATCAGAGGAGCTCGCTGGAATCAGCAAAGAGAAAGAAGAGATAAGAGAAGGCATTTGAGACTGTATAACATTCCTACCGCTCACAACTTCCCCGCTGCTGATGAGAATCCCTACAGTTCACTGGGACAACAATGAAGAGAGTTGGGTGTGAGAACAGGGCAGGAAGAAAAACTGGCTGAGAATCTTTAACCTAAAAATGTGTTAACGACAGTATTTTAGGAGGGAGGGGAAGGAACAGCCACACTTACAGATGTTTTTCTATTTGGCCTTTTAGTTTTAAATGCACATATAGTAAAATTCACCCTTTGTAGTATATGAGATGCAGAGGTTGTATGGTTGGGATACTTTCTAACTCAGAAGTGATACTGGTTAGATGTTTCCTAAAGTTTTCCCTTAAAAACAGAATTCTTGAGAAAGGGTGAAGCATGATGGTGAAGTAGGAATCTCCAAAGATTATTCCTCTGCAGAAAGATCCACTTGAAGAATTACGTGCACACAGAAATACAGGACAAGAGCCTCACAGGAGCTTAGAAAACCAGGACACTTAAGAGAGATTGCAAAGACACTTTTAAACTGCAAAGATGAACAAAACTGAGGCTACACAAGGGGGAGAGTTTGTCCAACTCCAACTCCCCTGATCCTAGCTGCTATAGTATCCCGCACATAAAGTCTCCCGAACTCAGTCTACACTCGGGAAAGTGAGTTGGAGGCACACATTTGGCTTCCACATTATCCTAAGTGTCTCTGGGGGAGTCTCGCTCCTGCACAGCCCTATAGGGAGCACTAAAAGTATCACTGGTACTGTTCACCGGAGGCCTGACAGGGACAGGGAAGAACAGAGCAAAGGGCAATGAGCACAGAGAACTCGATAGTGTGCTTTCCATTCCTGCCACAGGAGACCTTGCTCCAGACAGGCTCTTCAGGAGTGCAATGTCGCCAGAAGCATGGGCCACAGATCCTTTGGCTCTGAGTGCCTGGACTGCTCTCCCACATGGCTCAGTGTCCTTTCTGAATCTCCTGTGAGGCCATACAGCTTAGACACTGCGCCAGCAGTGGAGCCATCACAGGATAAAATTAGTATCTAACCTGCGCTCAGGGTGCCCTCTTATGCTGAAACAGAATATAACAGTCTGTTCAAAATTTCTAAACAAGGGGCTGGGGATTTAGCTCAGTGGCAAAAGCGCCTGCCTGGCAAGCGCAAAGTCATGAGTTCGGTTCCCGGTACCGGAGAAAAACCAAAAAACCAAAAAAACCAAAAAAAAAAAAAAAAAAAAAAAAAAAAAAAAAAAAAAAAAAAAAAACAAAATTTCTAAACAAGCCCACCAAAACAAAACAGTCACAGACTTACACTGCAAAGAATCGGGTAAATACTCTCATCAGTGTGTGGACAGAGGCGCACGTCTACAAGGACTGAAAGAGCCAAGGAGAGACGGTCTTACCAAGTGGAAAAACATGGTGCCGATGGCGGACAGACACGAAAATGAAGGATTTGGCACAGAAGTTTTAAATAGCTGTTTTAAGAAAACTCAACCTAAACAAAGCACAGAAAACTAATTCAGAAATGTATCAGAGACATGTAAGAGACTCAAACAATTATAATAAAAAATATTGGAACAAAAATTCAATAAAAATAAGAACTACAACAGAGAACATTAACATCAAAACAATCAAGCAGGAGAATCAGTGAGCTTAAAGATGGGCTGCTTAAAAATAGTCATAGGAGAAAAAACATAAAAAGCATGAGAAAGAATAAAGAAAACTTAGATCTATGAAACAACACTAAAAGAGCCAATCTATGTCACTGGTTTTCAAGAGCATTTAGAGAATGAAAAAAGGGTAAGAAGTTTATTCAAAGAAATAATAGCAGAAAACTTTACAACTTCCTAAACCTGATAAAGATATAAATAACTATGAGAAGTTTAAAGGTCACAAGTCAGATTCAACTCAAATAAGATAACTCCAAGACACTGTAATCAAAGCCACAAACATCAAGGGCAAAGAGAGGATCCTGAAAGCACCAGGAGAGAACAGGGAAACAACAGTGGCAGCAGAGCTATCAGCAGCAAACCCACAAATTATATACGCAATGTGCTAAAGGGAAAAAGAAAAAATCAGCCAGCTGAAACCACTCTGTCCACCAAAGCTATTCTTTTGACGTGAAGGACAGACATCCCCAGACAAAAAGCTGAAGAAATTCACTGCAACCAGACCTGTCTTACAAGAAATGCTAAAGAAAGTTTTCTAAACAAAACAGATAGGATACTAATGTGTGACATGAAAAAATGTGAAGATATAAAACCCATAGGTAAAAGTAAATAGGCAGATAAATTCAGAATTCTCTAACATGGTAATAAGGATGTAAATCATATCCTTAGTAGGAAGTTTAACAACTAAATCCGTTAAGATATAGGCATTATAATAAGATGAAAAATTTGACATCAAAAACTCCAAGATTTTTAAGCTTCAAGATTTTTTATTATACTTATTTTAGCCTCTTAAAATACAGATATGAACTAGATGGAAAGATTTTTTTTATTTTTTGCATCAAAATCAAGTTCTTACATTCAAAATAACCTGCTGTAAGATATTCTCTGTAAGTCACTTGGTAAATGCAACACAAAAACCTTAAACAGATATAATAAAAATAAGTGGAATCAAAACACACTAATATGGAAAAATTCTGTAACTGCAAAGAAAGACAGTAAGAAAGACCAAAGACCCAGAAATCAACAAGAAGTAACTATGTGGCAGTTCCAAGTTCTTAGCTATTAATAATTACCTTGAACACAAAGGGGTTAAATTCTCTAATTAAAAGACACAAAGTCGCTGCATGGATTAAGAAGAAAAACCCCAAGTGCTGACTCTATACTGGCACAAGAGACTTCATCTCAAAGGACATGAATAGACTAAAAGTGAATAAATGAAAACAGGATATTCTGTCCAAATGAAAGCAGGAGGAGCTATGCTTATATCAGATAAAATAGGCTTCAAATAAAAAACTACAGAGACAAGGCCATTACAGAATGATAAAGAGGGTTGGTATAACCAGAGGATATATGGTAACAATCATAAAGATATATGTACCCAACATCAGACCACCTGAATAACTAAAGCAAATGCTATTAAAAATAAAGAGATACATAGATAGCATTACAAAAACAGCAGGGGAACTCAGCACTCTACTTCCAGCAATGGAAGACCATTTAGAGAGAAAATAAGGAAATATCAGATTTAATCCATACTCCAGACAAAATAGAACAAACAGATATTTCAGGGCATCTCACCCAACAGCTGCATAATTCACACTCTTCATAACCACACACAGAACATTCTCCAGGATAGGGATGTTAGGCCACAAAGCAGGTCTTAACAGCAACAACAAAAGACATCAAAACTGAATTTATATCAAGTACCTCTTCTGACCACAATGATATAAAACTAGAAATTGATAAGCAAACATTGGAATGGGTATAAACACACGGAAATTAAACAATATGCTTATGAACAACCAATAGATCAACGAGAAAATTAAAAGAAATTTCAAATTTTCTTTCACAAATGAAAATGGAAGCACAACATGGAAGACTTCTAGGATGCAGTGAAACCAGTCCTAAAATAGAGAATGTTTAAAGTGATAAAAGCCTGCATCAAAAAGGTATCAATGCTGCATTTTAAGAAACCAAAAAAATAAGAGAAAACCTCCAAAATTAGAGGAAAAAAATCATAAAGATCAGAGCACAAATAACTGAAACAGAGATTAACAAAGTAAGAAAGAGAAATTAAACAGAGTTGTTTTATAAAAAGATAAAGTGAACAAACCTTTAGCCAGATTTGAAAATAAAATAAGAGATGAAATGGGAGACATGAAAACTGATACCACAGAAATACAAAAAATAAGAAAATAATATGAACAAATATATACCATTTACTGGAGGAAAAACCTGGAGGAAACAAATTTCTGGATACCTATATTCTACCAAGACTGAATCAAGAAGAAAGAAAATGTGAATGGACCAATAATGAGATTTAAGCAGTAATAAAAACTCTTCCATCAAAGAAAAGTCCAGACCCTGATGGCTCCACTACTGAATTCTACAAAATATTTAAAAAACTGAGACTAATTTTCATGAAATAGTTGAAATAACTGAAAATTAAGAGAATTTTTCCAAGCTAATTCTACAAGGCAAACATCACCCTGATATCAACACAAGACAAGGATACAACAAAAAAAGCTAAGGTCAGCACTCCTGATGAATACAGATGCAAAAATTATCCACAAAACACAAGTACACAGAACCCAGCAGCACTTCAAAATGATTATTCATCATGTTCAAGCGGGACTCACCCTAGGATCTAAGGATGGTTTCACATACACAAATCAATAAATATGATGCAACATGTTAACAGGACAAAAAGCATCATTTCAACAGCTACAGGAAAAGCATTTGACAAAATTCAATATCCCTTTATGATAAAACTCTTCAAAAATTACACATAGAAGAAACATACTTCAATTTTTTTATTTTATGGGAAAAAGGTAAAACAAAATTTCATAACAAAATAATAGGAGAATAACAATAGTTAATATATTACATGATGTTATCTTTAAAGTAGTTGCTCAGGGTATAAGATATGGGCATAAAAATTTCTCCAGTCCATATTAGCACAAACCTTCCTTTTTAATGAACTAAGTGACAGTACAACTGACTTGTATGTTCTCCCTGTTCCCTACTGTCCTTTCCCCTTTCACCCACCCTAGTTCCTTTTTCCTTTTGAACAACTTCTTCCCATTTCACAATATCTATTGTACAATTTAAACCTTATTTACTCTTTCAGTTTCTTATTTACTCTTTCAGTTTCTTATACTAGGGAGACAATACATTGTTTACACTTGTGAGTATTATTTCTTTTACTTATGTTTATGGTCTCCAGTTGCATCCATTTACCTATGAAAGTCTCAAGTTCATCCTTCTTTATGTCTGAGTAGTACTCCATTGTATAAAAATACATCTTTTTTATCCATTCCTCAGTTGAACATACCTCAATTTAAAAAGGTCATGTACAATAAACACATAAACACCACACAGGTAAAAGTTAAAAGCATTTCCCCCTACAATCTGAATAAGATAAAAATACCTACTTTTATTACTAATGAACATAGTACTAGAAGTCCTAGCCAGGGCAGGAAATAAAAGGCAGCCAGTGTGGAAAGGAAGAAGTCAAATTGTACTTGTTTGCAGATAACATGATCCTATATACAGAAAATGCTTAAAATTCCACTTAAAAACTGTTAGCCATAATAAATGAGTACAGTAAACCTATAGGATAAAAAAACCAATATACAAATGTCAGTAGTGTTTCTATGAGATAATAGCAAACTATGTGAAGAAGAAATCAGAAAAGTAATGCCTTTCATAATTACTAGCCAAAAAATAAAAAAAAATTTTAAAAAACCCTGAAAACAAAAAGCCTACAAATAAATTTAACCAAGGCTGTGAAAGACTATCTACAATGAAAATTATAAAATACTGGTAAAAACTGAAGACAGAAAACCATGGAAAGCTATTTCATGTTCATATATGGGAAGAATTAACTGAAAAAGCATTCTACAAATCAACCCAATCTCTATCAAAATTACAGTGTTACGTTCCTAAAATAGAAAAACAATGCTACAATTTATGTAAACCGCAGAAGACTGAATAACCAAAGAAATGTACAACAAAAACAACAAAACTGGAAGCATAACACTACTTGCAACATGTTAACAAAATATACTGCAAAGCAGTACTAATCAAAATGGCACATTTTTAGCATAAATACAGATTATAGACTGGTGGAACTGAGTAGATTTTTTGACAAAACAGTCAAATACATAACAAAGAAAAGACAATCTCTTCAATAAATAGTGCTGGAGAAACTGGATCTACATGCAACAGGGTAAAATTACACCTGGCCTCATCATATACAAAAATCAACTCAAAATTATGGGACTTAAATACAAGATCCAAAACTATGCCACTACTAAAGAAAACATAAGGGAAATACTACTACAGTAAATCTAGTCTGGATGAGGATTTTTTAGATAAATTCTCAAAAGCATGAGCAACAGAAGCAAAAAAAAGCACATGGGATTACATCAAACTAAAAGACTTGGCAATAGAAACAGGAATGAAGAGAATCTATAGATTGAAGAACCTACAGATAGAGAAAATATTTGTGAATTATATATATGACAACATGTTAATACATAGTGTCTATAAAGAACCCAAAAAACTCAACAGCAAAAAAATAAAAACCCTAAGTAATATGATTAAAAGTTCAAAAAAGACCTAGAATAGACATTTCTCCAAAGAAGACATACAAATGGCCATCAGGTTTACGGAAAAAGTACTCTAGACACTAGGAAAATGTAAATCAAAACCACAATGGAGTATTACTTGATTCCATTAGAATGGCTACTATCCAAAACAACAAAAATAACAAATGTTGATGATGATATGGAGAACGGGAAACTCCTCTACACTATTAGTGGGAAAGCAAGTTCATAGTCATTATGTAAAACAGTTTGAAGTTCCTTGAAAAATTAAAAATGAACTAGCATATGAGCCAGCAACTGCCCCACTGGGTAGATCAGAGATCTATCCAAAAGAAATCAGTAAGTTGAAGAAATGGTTGCATTCCCACAATTATTGAAACACTGAATAATGAATACAATAGACAGATATGGATCAGCTTAAATGTCCATTAATAGATTAATTGACAAAGAAAATGTACACATACACAATATGATGCAGCCATAAAAAGCATGAAATCCTATCATGGTGACAATTTGGATAAACCTGGAGAACCTAGGTTAAGTGAAATAAGTCAGTCACAAACAAATAAACATTATGTGATCTCACTCATGTATGGACGCTATAAAGCTGACTATAAAGTTGAGAGTAGAACAGAAATTACCAGAGCCTGCTAAGAACTGGGGGAAGTGGATAAGGAGAGAGACTGGTCAATAGGTGAAGCGTTAGACAGGAAGGAAGAATGGAAGTTCTGGTCCTTTACTACACAGCACGGTGACGAGATTTCATGCTTTTTATAGCCTACTGCGTATACACAATAAGCCACTGCACATTTCAAATAGGGAGAAGAGAGGATTTTCAGCATTCTCAAACCAAAGAAACGGTAAACGTTTAAGGTAATGGATACAGTAATCACCTTGATTTGATCATTATATAAAGTACACATGTATGGAAACATCACATTGTATCCAATAAACATGTCCAATCACTGTCAATAAAAAAACAGAAATCCCAATGTTTAGTTGGGAACATGGGCCCTGACGGACAAAATTGCATTTTCTCAGCCCTTTCTGTAGCAGATGAGGCCACATGACTGAATTCTGCCACAGGATGGCGACAGGCCTACGACAAATAAGAAGCCTGAATCTTGACATTATTGAGTTGGTCCTGAAATGCCTTCTCCAGGTTTTCATTAGGAGAAGTAAGTATTTAAACTCAAGTTAAATTTTCTGTAAATATTCCTAACTAATATACATTCTAACATTAGCTACGTCAACAAAATTTAATTCTCTGGTATGAAAATGTACTCTTACATGGAAAAGTCTCACATGTTAAGTTTCTACCATAGAGCATGAAGAACATATCCAAATATAATAATTGTATTCACTCATTTAATATGATGCAACACCCAGATCTCTGAATTTTCCTACTCATTTTGCAGCAGTAAATTTCCTTTAGCTATGGATACACAACCATAAATTAGTTTGTAAGGAAATTTACTAAAAAAGCACAGCAAAAAAATACTGATATAATTTAGCTACTTAAGATTTAAAATACATGAAATATACATACCTTCAGGTTCATACTTCAGCTTTAATTCATCTACTTTAGCTCTTAGTTTCATATTTTCACTTTCTGAAAGCTGGAGGCGTCTCTCATTTGCAAAAAGTTTTCGCTCAATTTCCAGGGCTCGCTGGCTCTCAAACAGTGCTTTCATTCGCTGTATGGACAATTCTCCTTTGGTGCTCTCATTTTCTTTGCTACCATAGTAATAAAGGAGAATCAAGAGATATTAAAATAATATATAATGCAAATAAACGTAGCATTTCAAAGTATACTTGAAAACTTAATTTAAAATGGTCTTCCGGGTTTTTAGTAACAAAGAAACAATGTTTAACAATAGCATCCAAAAAAATCCATGTTCTTTAAAGGAAAAGGACAACGGGAGAAAATATTCTTATCCAAATTTATTGATGCATAAATTTCTGTCAGTTTTAAATTGTGTTATTTATTCTTAAAAAACCTGGATTATAAGAATATTTTTCATATTGAAGTTCTCTTTACTGATCTAGAAAGTTAAAAGCAAAGAAATAGAGATTATTCACTAAAAGTCGTTCTTCAATAATCAGAAATTAGTACATTTTGCATAAAACTCAGAACATACCACACAAAGATAATTTTACTGACTTTCTTTTTTGGAAATTTGACAATTCAAAAAAAAATTGTAGCCATTAACGCTACTTATTTTAAGCATGTGAAAAGTCTTTATCTTTCCATCTACCCACTCAGACACTTACTTTAAGTTATCAAGTTTTAGCTGAAGTAAATCTGTATAATAGGTTTTGTCTTCTAGAACACCAGAGTTGCCTGGTATGGAAGGCTTAGATTCCATACACAAGTTCTAAAGAAAGCAAAAATGTTTGTTATTTAAGGTACATAACAAATTGGGTAACTGTATATTTATTAACAGCAGCTACTATTTGTTAAACACCACATGGTGAGGCAGGCATTCTGTTAAGAACTACCCACTAATTCCTTTGCCTTCTGCAGGAGGTAAAACAACCCAGCATTCCTCTCTTACAGTTAAGGCAAGTGGATCAAGGTGCCATAGGCAAGCAAACTGAGAAAAGCTAATGTGAACCCATGTCTAACTCTAAAGCTATGCTTTCAACCATCCCTAAGTCTTATGGTTTCCTTTCTTGGCTTTAGAATGAAAGCAACAAGTGCTTGCTAGAGTGAATTCTAGACTTTATGACAAAGCTGTAAAATTGAAAAATGTGAAAGAGAATGGAGATTCTCAAAATTACTTTTGGTATCTACTTTCCAGATACTAGTGTAAACTATTCATTTCTCTAGGGAAAAAGAAAATCTGTTTAAAAGTTATAATTTCTGAGGCTGTAGGTTAAAAAAAAATCTCTTGATTTAAGAGTATAACTTCTAAATTATAGCGTTGAGCCCATCTGTGGACCAAATATCTGCCAAATAACACACTACAAATTCAACCAAAATTTCAACAGGTTTTATAAGAGATAGAAATAAAATAATATGATTTGACCAATTTTGCATGCTTATATCTGATAATCCGAACAACTAATTTGAAGACAACAATATGCAATAAAACAGCCATTGTTGAATTCCTACCATCTTGTTTAGTGAAGTTCTGCATCATTTCTAATTTTTTTTTAATTATTACTTTTTATTCTCTTTAATTATTTGATCAATCCTGCACTCTTACATCTGGCAATCTGAGCAACTTCATTGAAGATAACAGTATGTAATGTAACAACCATTGTTAATTTCTATCATATTATTTTGAAATCCTGTATCGTTTTCATTGTTTCTGCTTTATTTTGTTTTTGTTTTTGTTGTTGTCATTTTGTTATTATTTTTTCTCATTAAGAAAGAAATAAAGTACTATGAATGTAAAATCTTATAATACACTACAATCTACAATGTCAGAGAGATTATTAAATTTTACAAAACTTTTGTCCTTTGTAAAATTTAACCTTTCACTAGGAGGTTAGTGAGAAGATATCGATGTTCCCCATAGGAATTTAAATGTATACATTTAAAAATTTATAAATGTACGGCAATCCTAATAAAAATACCAATAAAATTCTCTGATGCTAGACAAGTTGTTCATAGCGAAAAGGAAATAGCAAGAATAGTTAGGAAAACAGTAAAAAAGAAAAGCCATGGTGGGGGAATAGCCTTATAAGTGATACATACTATGAAATCTGCATCAGTCAATAAAATATACTACCAAACATGCATCAGTTATGCACAAACAGACAGACTAATAGGAAAGAACAGAAGATATAGAAATAGACCCAAGTATATACAGAAACTTGATATATGGTAAACCTGGCATCTCAAACCACTGTGGCCAAGATTTAGTAACTGATGACAGTCTCAAAGTGTCTCCTCACCTTATACTTAATAATATAAGTATAAAGGGAAAAGTTGTAACTTGATGCTATAAAAACCTGGGAGATACAACCTGCAACAATGAAATTTAATATTGCCAGTAATGGCAGACACTACGTGCCACCTAATTACGATGCACTGAAAAAGGTACATTACTCTAGTAGCACTGTCAGAAACAGTCGCAATCTAAACACATCAGAAAAACTCAAAATGAATTATTTATAAAAGTAACTGGCTATACTCTTCAAAAATCTCAAGCTCATGAAACATGAAGACTGAAGAATGATCCAGATTAGGAAAGACTGAAGAGACTTGACACTTAATCACAGTATGTTATCATGGACTAAATCCTAGGATAGAACGCATTTGTTTCTTATTTTACTATAAAGGTTATTAGTGGTAGTTGGCAAAATGTAGTTAATAGTATGAATCAACTCATGTCTACGTTAATTTCCTGATTTTGATTACTTGGTTATGTAAGAGAATATTCTTCAATAAAACTGAGGTAATTAGGGTTAAAAAGACATCCTGTTTGTGACTTATTCAAATGTTTACAAAATATATATATATACTGAGAGATACAGAGAAAGTAATAAAGCAAATGTAGCAAAACTGACAATTGGGGAGCTCTGGGTGAAAGGTAAATAGGAATCCTTTTACTTCTTTTCTAGAAGGGTAAATTTATTTTAAAAAATAACAAATTTAAAGTTTATAAAAGCCTTCTATGAATTCTAGTAGAACTGGTTTTAGTTAAAGTGTTGGAAGTGACTAAGCTCCATTATACAATGGAAATAGATACTGTTGAAACATAACCAGTTATTGATAACATACAAGAGGAAGAAATCCTAGTGACATAATGTTAAGTGGAAACAAAAGAATATATACCGTATGCTTACATTTTTATGAAGCCCAACAGTACTTACTCATGTAATGCTGACTGATACAAAGTTAGGTGCCAGCACTCATTTAAAAGTGACATAGAACCTTTCTGTAGTGCTAGAAATATTTTATACACCATGATTTGAATGGTAATTACAAGAGGTATACATGTCCTAAATTTATTGAATTGTAAATTAAAGGTATAGGTACTTACAATAATCTGATAATAATAGTAACAAAAATGGGATGGGTTGGTTGGCAGTAAAAGAAGCACTAGTCAAAAATATTGAAAAGCAAAAGGAGATTAGAAAAAAATAAATATCAGGTCAATTGGTTTGGGAACTGAAAGTTAATTACATAACAAAGAAAGCTATTTAGGTTCAAAATATTAAGAAATTCAAATCATAGAAGGGAAAAAAATGGAAGCAAAGCTTTTCTAAATGGGAAGGGAAAAAAGGATTGAAGGGAGGGCATGGAGATGGGAAAAAAAGACTGAAGACATACTATGTACAGTACAAATTCCCTATGTTGAATGTGATCATTATGTATGGCAAATATGTACCAGTAAAAATGAAAAAGAAATTGAAATCAAGATGTGACTGCATGTTTAAAGATGTTATATATACCTTAAATTTCTCCAGATTTCTAATTTCACCTAAAAGATGTTTTATTTCACCATTCTTCTGCTCCAACATGGCAAACAACCGTTCCTGTTGTTCAAATTCAGTCTGAGATCCTTTCATCTGTAGTAACGTGGAAATTTGCAGCTAGAACCCCAACACCAATAAAATTGAGTGAGATTCTTAGAAGCATTTTCTTGGTACATGTCATATTTTATATTATCTGGAAGTGATTTTGGAAACTAAAATTTAGCTATTTCTAGTCTAATTATTTGAAAACCTACATATCAATAAGTCTTATTGTAGGTAAAACTTTGCATACGTATTTTGAACACTTAATAATGACATAGTCTTTAACATGATTACTCGTGTTCTTGCGAAACATAAAATTAAACTGTATGGCTATGGCCTGGAACTATGTTATTTAACTGGTAAATCAGTTAAAGACTGGTCGAAGACTGTCTACGACTCATCCCTTGTTGACATTTATTAAAGATCTGATGCGGTTTCTCAAAATTCAGCACGGGAAATTAAGCTACCGCCAGTCACAAACGTGAGGTTCACAAATGACAAGGATGGGAAGCCCCATGCATGCATTTTACTACTCTAACACTAGAAAAGTTGTGAGCCAGGTGCTATCTATCACCTGTTTCTTAGATGAGGTAACTGATGCTCTCAAAAGTTAAATACATGCCTAAGTCACATGGCTAGTAAGTGAGAGGTCTGTGGTTCAACCAAGTTCATAGGATTTCCAAATTTAATGAGTGATCTTTCCCATTTCTTTGGTAAAATACCACCCTGAATAAAAAGAAAGCAGCTTTCTAGTCTTCTAAATACCACCTTAGGAGAATCAAGCACAAGAAATCAGGATTCTAAGGACAGGCCCATCCCCGAAATCTTTACTGCCACAAGTTTTCTGATACCTCTTATTTGCCATGAATAATGCCCAACATAATCTTTAAATGAAAAGGGGCTATATGTTTAACTTTAGGATCTTAAAAAAAAAGATCTTGAATAGTCTCAGTTTCAGTCTAAAATAAGTCCTCATGAGAGAAGAAAGAAAAGTGAGAGAGCTGGATTCAGTTGGAGTAGGAACCCTAGATCTGTGATCAGGATGACACCAGGCTAAAGCTAAGAGACAAACTTTTAAATGTTTTTCTCTATTCACAAAGAAAGATTTATACCTCCCTAGGAAGGTTAATGAGTAACTGTTAAACTAATCAGTAGTTACTAAACATACTACTATCTTTCCAAGATTATTTTTTAAAAACATAAAAGGATTTTTGATCAATTTAAAAATATTGATTTTTTTTTTAAAATCATGAGTTCCAGAAATGATTATCCAAGTATACCCCTTAAAGGAAAAGATGCTTTCTTTGCTATATCTGTACATGAAATGCCAATACTGCACAAAGTAGGTTTAGTAAGCTTTTAATAGTGATAACGCTATACCTTCATTCTTTGCATCTGTTCTCTATTAAATGCATTTTGCTTCTTTAGTGACTGATACTTGACTTTCATACTTATAAGCTGGCGTTCCATTGCTGCCCTTCGATCTTCCACCTGGAAAGGAGCATGTTTAATTGTTTTCACAGTAGATAAAACATCAACTTAATCAGTTCTGCCATTAGAACACTTGTAAGTACCTCTGCAAACAAAGAGTTGCCTTTACTATTGGGATCCAAGGCTTGCTGGAGTGCCTGATTCAGCTGCACCTGAAGATCTTGATTTTCTACACGAGCTTTCTAAATTCAAAAGAAAACAATTTAGCTAATAGAGATTAGATAAGCAAGAAAAATTTTATTAGGAACTGGAAACACGATATTACTGTAATCATAATACCTGTAAGGCATTGTAGTAAGAAACTGCTTCTTTCTCCCGTTCTTCTTTCTCTTCCTTAAGTTGGTTAACCTGGCGCATTAAGTTATTACTGAGACTTTCTAGTTGTTCCTGTCTGTACCGCCTTTCATTCACTTCTTCTGTGAGGGTGGTCTATTCAACAGGAATTGAAAAGGAGAAAATTATCTTCTTTCACTTATCAGTCTCTCAGTTTATCTGAGCAGTAGCTCAAACCCCAAACTAAAACTAAGGAACTACTTAAAGGTTGTCAGGTGCATGTTAAAATTTTTTTAACTACTGAATTTTCCATCAGGGAAATTAAAAAGCTCTAACAATTGACTTTCTTTCCGATGAATTTAATGCTTTAGTTTTTAATCACCCACAGCCGGAAATAAAAATCTACATTTGCATGAATTTCAACCACTGTGCTCACATTTTGTGTTGAGCTTTTATGACACAAGCTAGCATCAGAGTAAATGCCTCTAAATCCTTCTAGAGATTTCATTAATCTAAATGTAAAGTCTGCTTGCATAATCCAGCAACCTAAAGCTACTTTATTAAGCAATCCACCTAAAAATTCTATAAATCACTTTTTAATTAGATCAAAGTTAGGTTAAAAATGTTTCAGCCTTCAAGCCAGTTCGTAAGCATCACAAAAATGGAAAAAGTATGAAAAGGAAACACATGCTATAAAAATTACCTTCGTACTTGACATTTCAGTCAGCTCAATCTGAAGAGCCAGCATCTCTGAAGACATGCTTTCATGTACACGCTCAGACATTATCCGTATTTCCTCTGATTTATGAGCCAGGAGTTCCTTCTGGTGATCTACTTTATGCTTCAATTGCTTTTCACTAAGCCTCGCTTCATCTAACTCCGCTTTCAGTTTTTCTAACTAAGGTGAAAAGAAAAATTTACAATCTTATAAATCAAAAGGTATTTTCTTTCTGAAAAACACTAAGTGACCCAAACTTAGTGTAGGATGACTACTAGAGTGTTCTATTTGGCCAAAGCTAGGCATCTTTTAACAGATAGTCATTCATTCTATTCTGTCTTATAAATACAGAAATATTCCATACCAGTAATCAGAGTAAGCCTGGATCCTAGAAACAACATGAAGTCAGAGTTGCTGACCAATCAGGTGCTGTGTGAAGAATGTGGTAGTTGTCTATGGGAGAGATTGTGTTTACACTAGAGGGGCACCAGTCTAGATCGAGATTTTGAAGGTCTATTGACTGATGTATTATATATGAGGAATAAGATATACTGGCTAAAACTCCAAATATTTGACACAAGATGGTTGAAAACATCAGTAAGACAGTATTTTAATTGATTTACTCTCTGCTCTACCAAAAAAGCCATCTCTATAACTGGCCTTGCCTCAGTACCTCAATATTCCTCGTAATGACAAATACTGCTAAGCGGAAAATAACATCGGGGGAAGAGACTACACCATACCAGTCATCAGTCTCCCAGATCAGATTAGTTTCAGGCCAGCTGGATTACTGTCTGTCAGAGTCATGCAGGATGACTCTATACAAAAGTATTAGTCAGGGTTGTTTTACTGCATATTTTTAAAAACCCAGCTCAAACATTCAGTTTCATTGATAGCACTACTTAAAATGGGAACACATTTAAAAAGAGTTAATTTAACGAAAAATGAGGTAATGGTATATGCAGTACACAGACGTGGAAACATCTTAGAAGATGCTACACAAAAACTTAAAATTAGGAGACAGGCTTCTGAGAAAACAGGAAAAAGGTCAAGCATATTTTGGTAGAGGTCTAGAAAAGTCTGCACTCTACACAAAAACAAGCCATCATAAAAGATCTGGAATCCCTAAAGCAATCTAAAGGCACTAGATATCTGGGGGTGCTAAAAGGGAACGGGCAGTCGTTGAACTGTTATTATCTGTTTTGCACTTATGCTTGAAATGGAGCCAGGATGTACTAGGTATCGCTGGACTAAGTACAGAGACTCAGTAACACAGGCTCCGGAGCTGGCCAGCCTCAATTCAAACGTGACTGACAATTCCTAGCTCTCTTATTTTGTCCAGTTTACTCAATCTGTTTAAATACTGGCTTTCTCACCTGGTACATGAAGGTAATAATGGTACTTCCCTTACTAAGTACTGTGAGAACTGGGTCATATGTTTTTCTTCAATAAACAAACTACAAAATATTAATTCTAATGTACATCAATTTATAAAAGAGCTACTACTGGTTTGTTCTGCAGAATTACAAAGTGCATCACCAGCTCAGTAAAGACTAGGGGTTAGTCTTTCTGCAAAGGGACTGACATACTGCGTACTCTAAGGAGGCTATGCTGGTCAAGGAACCAACTCGAGTACAAATATCCAGTTAACAAATTAAATGATTGTAGGTTATTAGAAGGCTATAACTTATAGAAGTCCGTAAGTAAACTCTTATTTCTTCAAGCTCTCACTTCCAACATTACCACGATAGTGAATTTAATCTTGGCTATTTTGCATAGATGCTGCTGAAGAAAATTTTCATAGCCTAACAATTCACAAGTGGCTACATAAACATGGGATACTTTGACTCTGAAATATAGATATCCAAACCTTATTTTTTATTTCATTCATTTCTTGTCCATGGCTTCTACTCAACTGCTCTTCTAGTTGCTCCAGCTGTACTTTCTGCTGTTGTTTAATAGCTTCACATTCACAGTTCAAACTTTCTAACATTCGACTCTTGAGTTCAACCTCTCTCTGAAGAGCGTATTTTTCTTGTTCATAATTCTGAAAATAGATTCATTTACAATTCAATTACATAAAAATTACTTAGAGCCATTAAATATAATCAGTTCTTACCTTTAATTGTTTCATTCTATTTCTACATTTGCTCCTTTCCATGTAACAACCACATGTTAAATGTGGAATAACTTCATAGCTAATTAGCCTTAGTGAAGCCCTAAGGCATTCTGTGAGACTAGAGTAGTCTCAAAACACTCAAGCTGAAGTGAATACAGGTTTTGTCCCAGAAAAGGTTCGAGGTTACCACTTTCTAATCGATGGTCTCTGGTACGCTAGCAGCCAACTGGGAAGGAGAAATGAGGTAGTGGGAAGCATCTTCTGGATTCCAGAAACTGCAAATCTCACACTGACCAGTACCATAAGGTACTTGCTCTGGGCTGGAATATCAACTGCCATGGCAGTGCATCTTATCTCATACTGATCAAAAACTAGGCATTTGACTCAATACTAGGAAAATAAGTTACTTTTTAGTTTGGTAAACAGAATCTTGTCAAATATGGAGTCCACTTGAAAGAGATCTAGAAAAAGTAAAGAGACTTTCAGAAGCAAAAATAAAGAGACTTGTCCTAGAGATGACAGTCTTACAGAGACATTCAACCTTTTATCCTTCCATCCACTGTCCAAATATTTATTAAGAACCTAGCAAATATGCCAGGTGATAGAAACTCAGTTATAAATAAAACATGGTGCCTGGTCTCAAGGAGAGCAGTCTAAAGGAGCAAACAAACACACAATTCAGCAATAAAATACCTCATAGTGATTGGTACCAAGGGTAAGCACAGAAGCAGAGTACGTTTACAGAAGGAAGTGATTTTAAAGTAGCACTGGCACATGGGCCTAGATGTCATGTCTTCTGATGCATAAAATATAACACAATGAGTAACTGTTTAATAGGTCAGATTGGGGTTTCTAAGGTTCAGTACAGGGTCATATATCATTTCCATCTTATCTGCAGGGGATACATTCTAAGAGCCCTCTGGATGCCTGAAACATCATAAAATACCACACCCTATATATACTGCAAATTTTTTGTACATAGCTATCTTTAATAAAGTTTAATTTTATATTAGGCATAGTAAGATACTAATATCACAACAAATAATAAAATAAAACAATTACAATAATATATTATTAATAAGCTCTATGAATGTGATCTCTTAAAATATCTTCTTACACTAAAGTTACCTTTCTTATGATGATGCATGCCTGTATCCCCAGCACTCTGGGAAGTTGAAGCAGGAGGACGTCAAGTTAAGCCCACATAGCACAACTGAGTGACTTAGAGACCCAGTCTCAAGATAAAAAAAATTTTAAAAGGGCTGCGGACGCAGCTTAGTGTAAAGACCGTGTTCAATGCCTAGTACCACAAAAAAAGTCCACCCTAGAGATATAGTAAGTAAAAACTGCTCCATGGCATGTCAATGTACCAAGTGATCTCTGCTAGGGGAGAGAAAGGAAGTGAAAAGATTTATTAGCACTTAAATTTTCCTAGTTTGATAGTGAAATGCTGCACTTATAGCTCTGAAAAAAATGAAGAAATAGTAGAATGGATGAAGAGAAGAAGTAGTGAATTAGAGTTTACTTTTAGGACACAGTCATCTGAGAACTATTTACAAAATGACTACCAGGATGATAAAGTGCTGAGACAAAGGTATCAAAAGTGTTTTCACTTACTTATAGGGACATTTAGAGATAAAAAGGCATTAGTTTAAACTCCTTCACCAAGTTTTACAAAGTAAGATAAAACAAAATTCAATTAAATTAGAGAAAAAGACCTAACACATATACATTATTCCCCCCCCAAGCCTTTGTATTTTAAAAGGCAGAAAAAGCATTAATTGTTGAACTAACACATAACTCTGATGAGTTATTTATTAAAACAAGTGTAACATGGTTTAATTTGCTACTGTTAGACCTGTCATCTTTGCTTTTGTGACTTGGTATTGAGCTCTTTGTGAAGAGTGGCATTACATGGAAAAACAAAGGCTATCACTGGTTATTTTTACTTGCTGTACTTACAATGCTGAGATTTAAGTTTAAATATACTACTATTTACTACATTAAACACATTTATTCATTTTTTAGAATGTATTTGTGTGCCAGGCATTAGGAATACAGTAGTAAGCAAAGAAAAACAAAAAACAAAGACCCTCTACTTTTATGGAACTTATGATTCTGGAAATGGTAAGTACCACTTCACAGAATTAAGAGTGAATGATAAAAACTTTAAATTACATTGTCAGGGTGGGCCTCTTTGCTAAGGTGACATTTAACTGAAACCTGAGGGCTGAGCACTCAATCCATGAAGAATGGAGAAAAAAATAATTCAGTAGGAGGAAACAGCCAGTGTAATGCTCATAAAGCAGGATTAGTCTAGCCAAGGATAAAGGAAAGTAGTCCAACAAGAGGTAAAAGGTTTAGGCAAAGCCAGTGTGGTGGTACAGACTTACAATTCCTGCTACTTCAGAGGCTGTCAAGGAGAGCCTGTGCGACTCAGCAAGGCCCTATCTCAGCCACAACAAGAAAAGGTTTGGGATGTAATGCAATGGTAGAGCATTTGACTACTACTAGAAGGGCCTTGGATTTAATCCCCAGTGATGTTTAAAATAGAAGAATCAGGCAGAGATCAAATTGCACATGGATGTACAAATCCAAAGAGCTCAGATTTGGTTGTACATATAACTGGTTTTTAGCAAGGAGGTGACATGATCTTTTATGTAGTCTTCCAGCACAACTTGGCTTGGCTACCAAGTTTACAATGAATTGATGAATGGCAAGGATGGAAGCAGGCAACCTGGTTAGAAGACTAAAATATTACTCTAGTAGAAAACTGATGGTGGCCTGGACTAGAATAGCTATAGCTTAGATAGATATTCTATAGGTCAAACCTTTAGAATTTATTGATCTGAAAAACTGTAGATGTCTTAAATGTGAGATTTCTAGATTTTTGGCTCAAGTAAATAGATGACTGCTATTCTATTTACTAAAGAAGTGAGAAAGGCGTGTTTGATTAGTGGAAAGGATTCTACTCCTTTTATGTCAAGTTTGAGATATCCATTAAGACAGATGAACACTTAAATTTAGACTTCAGGGGAGGTTTAAGGGGTTGAGTCACTGAGAACTCTGAAATAAGAGAAAACACCTAGGTGAATGTGGAGAAAATGAATCTGAAAGTAAATGTGGTAAAGGGAGCAATCATAAGTTGATTTTTCAAACTCAAGAACACACTGCGTTAGCAATACTGGGAATTCATTTACTTCATTCTACTAATGGAGATAGGAATTAGATGGGAATAAGAGCTTCAGAAAAGAATAAAATAATAATTGCCAGACAAAACAAATCTTCAACAGCTACGCATGTCCCTGTAAACAGAGGTATCCACAGTCCTACCTCGGTCATGGCCATCATTTCATTCCGGTATTTATCCAATTGATTCTGCAGTTCATTCTGGCTCTCCAGCAGTTGTAAACCGTACTGTGCAGCTGTTAGTCGCTCTTTTTCAGCCTCTTTAAGCTTGCTTCGAAGATCTGCAATTATATCCGCCTCCATGTTCTTTTCCTACTTTTAGCCTACTATAGATAAATAAATTTGAGCTTACAGAAAAATTCCATGCAATTATATCAAATAAAAAGAAACATATATTCAATACTCCTGCCATACAAAAACACAATATTAAGATTTTCTTCCACACTTGCAAGTGCTCAAATCTGTGTTCCCACTCTAAGAGCAAGAATTGATCTGAACATTTTGTTACTTGATTTGTGTTCAAATCAGAGTACATTCACTTTCCTTCTAAGAAATTCACCATCAAGAAACAATTTGGTTGTGTGCTAAGTGTCCATGAATGCTAAGGTAGGGTTGGTCTCATAATTGGGCCATTACCTACACAACTGAAATTAAGAGAAGAATGAAATAAATCAATGCCACGACTTAGAGTATAAAAAGACAACTTTACAAAGACTCAAAAGGTAAATGAAGCAAAGACTATTACAACTAATTTTTACAAGTGTTACCCATCCACATATGTTGAATTTGCTTTATTGAAGAGTCTCACTAGTATTTTCCTAGATATGCTTAAGAGACATGTAAAACAGAAACCACATTCAAAGTACTCAAAGGACCTTGTTTTCATTCGAGATTTTCAAGTTAAAGCTTCAGCATTACACATAAGACCACTCTAACTCAAACTCACTCATCTTCCTTTCTTATTGGCCTCTTTTCTCTTAAGCCAAACTGAAACTCAGCTTTGCCTTCAAAAGGCACCAGGCCATTACTATGGTATTTCTTCACATCTCAAGTCAATGAAGTTATGCTTTCAAGTGTTTCTTGAATGCCTTACCTGCTAGGCTCCATTCTGAGCATTTCAGGTTCTTTAAAAAATAAAACTGACAAAAACTTCCTCCTTCACGTAACTTACCTTCCAGGAAAGGAAGACAAAGAGTAAGCAACAACATATTAATGAAATACATTAGAAAATGGAAATTAAAAAACAGCAACAGAACAGGGTAAAATAACTCAAAACAGATGGGTAGTTCAATCAGGAGTCAGAGGTGAGAGAATTAGCTATGCATTTTTTTAGGATAAGAATGCTCCAGGCAGATGGGAAACCCTAAGGTAGAAGTGAACTAGAATTTAGGTCAGAGATAAAAGGAGGAGTGGTATGTGGTCGTGGTGGTGAATGCCTATAATCCCAACACCAGGGAGGCTGAGGCAGGTGGATTGCTGTGAGTTCAAGTCAGCCTGGTCTACAAAGTGAGTTCAAGGCCAGCCTAAACTACATAGTGAGACCCTGTCTCAAACAAAACAAAACAAACAAAACAAAAGGCATGTGGGGGGCAGATCAGCTCACTATAAGCAATGCGTGGTTTCTACTTTGTATAAAATAAAAGGTCACTCCAAAGTTTGGAGTAGAGGATCTGACCAAAATTAAAATGATCATTTCCCTGTTGTGATAGTTAGGAGGAAACAAACTTTGAAGCAGAGATCATTTGAGACAATGTCTCAGATAAGGGTGGCAGCTTAGTAGACAGGAAGAAATGGCTAGATTCTGCACATATTTTTTAAGGTGAACCCAAAATGATTTTTCTGGCAGAAGGAATGTGGCATGTGTGAGAAAGGAAAAGAATTTAAAATGCCTCCAAAACTTCTGCCCTCAGCAATGAGTAGAATGGAGTTGCCCTTCAGTTGAGGCATTTATGTAAAGCATGTTTTAAGGAGAAAAAAAATCGAACTTCGTATTTTGTGCATGAAAGATATCAAGTAGGGAGTTAAAGTATGAGGAGAGAGGTCTAGGGTAAGTCCTATCATCTGAGGATGAGAAGTATTAAAGAGAAGAGGACCAAGAACTGAGCCCTGTCTGGACATGGGAACAAAGACAGCAAAATATGCCCAGGAGTTACCAGTGAAGGAGGAAGAAAATTGAGTATGTGCTGTCCTGGAAGCCAATAAAGTTTAAGAAAATAGGAGTGGTCAATCATCCCAAATGCTCCTGCTAAGTCAAATTAGATCAGAACTATGAATTGCCCAATGGATTTCAATACATGGTCACCCCAAGAAAGGTTCTGACAGAAAGGTGGGGTGAAGGCATGACTGGAATGGGTTTGAGGGAGAATGGCAAGAGATGAGAGGCACAGCATATACAGTTTAGCTGCAAAGAGCAGATAGATGGAGCTGTAGCTAGAAAAGTAGAGGCAGGTTTTCCTTGGATTTTTAAATTTTAAGATGGAAATATTGACAACATGTTTGTAACCATGAGATAAATCCAAAAGAAAAACTGATGATGTAGGAGACTCTTGAGAACTACAACAGTGACATCCCTGATTAAAGACAAGGAAATCTAATGTACAGGGAGTGAAACACGGGTATTTCATCCAAAGTAAGAAAAAGCAAAGCATCCAAGTACAAATGCTCATAACTAGGTAGAGTGGTGGAAAAATGTTTAAATGACTGTCTAAATATTTCAACTTATCACTGACTTAGGAACAAACGTGAGAGAGGAGATACAGGAGTTTAGGAGAGAAAAAAAAAAAGGTACTAGTTTATCCAGGCCTTGTATTTACTGTTTTAAAACACAAGATTCAAAAAAAATTTTTTGAGCCTGCACACTATGGAGCCAAACAACTGTTCCATGGTTAGTAACTTCTGAGTATTTACCACTTGCCAAGCCAAGTGTGACAAATACACTACCTCATTTAATTCTCTTGATAAACCTAAATTTAAAGAATACCATCATTTCCATCTACCAAAGCAAAAATGGAGTTAACCTAAAGGCATATCACAGGGGAATATGTAAAAACACCCCAACATCAGTTCTTATTCATTCAGAAGATTTACTTGAATTTCTGTTGTTGTCAGATACTGTGCTAGTGCTGAAGAAATCACGGTGACTCGAACACTAGACAATAATATCACTGTCTTCCTGAATCTTAGTCTATTAATAGAAAGGTATTAAATCAAATAATTGACTTGTAAAGTTATAAGTGTGAAAAGACCAAAGGGGAGAGATTTATAGTGCAATCTGAGGCTATAAAATGGGGGAAACGTCCTAATCTAGTGGGATTAGAGGGTGGGACAGGGTAGAAAAGAACACGGACAAGAGGGGTTTCCCTGCAAAGATCTAAAAGATGAAAAAGAGTCAGTCTATCAACCTGCAAAGAGAGACAGCAACAGCTTAACAAGTAGAGCAGTACGTGCCATACACTGTGCACAGAGCTCTGCAGACATGATTTTATGCAATCTTTTCAACAACCTTGCAAGGTAGAAAGTACATCCCCCATTTTAGTACGTGCAATCTTAAGGAGGCACAGAAAGATTAACACATGCAGGCTTATCAGCTACTAAGAGGCTAAATGAGATGGAACCAACCCCTAGTGCTCCAATCACTTTCTGTCCTTCCTCTCAAAGCACAGCATATATAAAGCATATAAAAGACCGGAAGCTCTGTTAGTCAATCTGCCTCAGTTCTTATCCTACCTCCACCACTCACTGGCTGCATCAATTTTAACAAGTTATTTAACGTTTTGTTTCATCACCTTTAAAGCAAGGAGGGCAACAGCATCTAACAGAGTTGTGGAGAATAGTAAAGCTGACAACTGATGCCAAGTACTGTACCTAGGCCAGAATCCGACACAGGGTGGGGCAGCTGTGTCCAACAGAAATATAACGCGAGTCACATACGTAATTTACAATTTCCTAAGTGTCACAGTAAACGAAATAAACACATGAAAAAGTAAGTCTTAATTTATTTAGCCCTAACGAATCCAAAATATAATTTTGATCCGTAATCATTACAAAAATTGAGACTCTACTTTTTGGATACTGTCTTTAAATTCGGTTTGAATTTCACATTTGCGGCATTTAATTTTGGCCGCCGCAGGGCCCAGGGGCTACCGTACTGGACGACGCAGACCTTGGTAATCACTGCGAGGCTCAAGCAGCTAACTATATTTATCCAGAATCCCGGAAAGCAGCCAGAAGGTCCATCTCGAGACTGAGGCCGGCAAGGAAGCCGACTTCTAAGAATTAAGAGTTCCGGGAGGGAAAGTTCCGACTAATGATCCACTGAGACCCAGGCCCCAGGTTTACTTAGGCCCCGCTCAACCCCGCCCTCCTCCACCCATCCTCTCCACAACCACCCCTACCAGGCCTTTAGCCCTCACCTCTTTCCTCACTCCTTCCTCTAGCTGCTGCAGCCTGTGGGTCCAGGTGAGAGCTCAGGACGGCCACATTCACTAACCCTACCTCACCAAAGAAACATCCTCCCATTCATTCCGAGAGTCTCCGGTAAGCGCCAGGGCTTTTTGAATGCAGTTCCCGCGAGAACTAGCACTTCTCACGAGACACTCCGCCCCAGCGTCTCTTAGAAGAAAAACACTGAAACCCGCCTCTGGAGTGCCCCGCCTAGGACAGGGACTGCGCACGCGCAATTGAAGAGCTCTAGGTTTGGCGCAAGCGTAGATCGGGTTGCCTGGTTCTAGTTTACTGAGGCTTGTTTTCTTGGGCGTTTTCTAGTTGGGGTTTTGTTTGTTGTTTACAATAGGGCTCTGTGGAGGAACAGTGTCAGTAGGTCAGCGAGTACAGGATCGCCATCGATCGGTGCCATTGTATCCGCCTTGTCCACCCTGCCATGAGTTTGGCCGGCGTGCTCTCTGAAGGCGCTTCCCTCTGGTGGCTGACGATTCCCGGAGCCCGAATCGGTGACAGTACCTAAAAGCCTTATGTGGCAGAATCACAGTTACCGTTACGGGACAGAATGACAGTTATTATGGCACTTTGTGTGTGTGTACGTTGTACCAGTACAGTGCTTTTACCAGAATCATCTCATGAAAGCCCAAAAGCTCTAAGAGATGGACATCAGGACCCCTCCTTTTCTACAGAGGAAAACAAAACCCCAAGAAGAAAAATGACTTGTCCTAGTGATAGCTATAGAATTTGAACTAATGCAGTCTGGTTCTAGAGTCCAGGCTCTTGAGGGCATGTGTGTTTAGTATTTTGTAAGCCTGATGTCTGTTCAAGCAGTCAGAAAAAGTAATAGGTAACAGTCAGCTAACACAGCCCTAGCAACTGGCATGTGGATCCTATTCTGCGCCCATCTTGCTTGCCTATTTGAGGACTTGGTACTAGCTCTTTGCTTGTTCATTATCAAGTTTTTCTTCTCTGTTGGATCTTCCTTAGCAATAGATAAACGTGCTATAATGACTTCCATTGCAAAAAAAATACTAACTTCTCTAACCCCAGTCAGCCATGGCTCCATTTACTTGCTTCAATTTATTAAAAGAATATGTGGGAGAAAATGCACTCACTCAACCAAGCGCGATGGCGCAGGCCTGTACTTCCAGCACTCAGGAGGCTGAGGCAGGAGGATCGTTGCGAGTTAGAGACCAGCCTGGGATACAAAGCGAGCTCAAGGCCAGCCTGAACTGCATAACGAGACGCTGTCTCAAAAAAATAAAATAAACAAACAAAAAAGAAAATGCACGCACTGTCTCCATTTACTTACCTTTATTCTCCCTCCTTTACTTCAAATGGAGTTTAGTCTCAACCAATACAGTGAAATGGTTCTTGTCAAGGTCACCAGTGATTTTGTTGTCCTTGTGGCTGAGGATTGAACTAAGAGCCATGCAGATGCTAACGATATGCTCTACCACTGAACTACATCCACTGCCCACCATGACTTTTATCTTGCAAAATCCACTGGTCCATATTTAGTCCTTTCTTTGCCTGACACTTGCAGTGTTGATAATTCTGAGTTTTTAGTTTATGTCTAGGGATACCGCATTCTTCTTGATTTCTTCTTCTTAGTTGCTTGACAGAGATAACCAGATTGTAAAGGATTTCTCTGGGTCTTAAGCAACAGTGATGCCTTCAAGCAGACCTACCTGGGGCTGAAATGAGCCAGATGTTCATTCACTTGTAATCACCTCCATGCTTCAGATAAATAAAGGAAATTCAGTTTTTCCTTTCATTTAGCAAAGATTCCTCAATTCAGGGGTCAGGAAGACATCTAACCTAGGCCAGTCATTACCAGCTAAAATTAGATAAACTAAAATCTGAATTTTTTTCTCCTTTGTCACAAAAGAAGGAAAATCCTACATTGTCATTCACGTTTCTTCCAATTCTGTTTTTTTTTTTTTAGAATGGCCCCTCTTTAAAGTATACTTTTGTAATATGTAATAATTATACTCCTTTGGAGAATTGGCACATACATATATCCCATTTTGGTGATTTTTATTACCTCTCCAATTATCCCCATCCTCCTTTCACAGACCTTTTCTCCATCTCCACAGGGTCTCCCTGTTTCCTACCATCTTTCTTTTATTTTACTCTTTAAAATATTGTATTTTGGGTCCATCAAAGAAACCATGTAGCTACTTTCTGTGTCTGATTTAGTTCACATACACACACACCCATACATATCATTAGTTGAGTGATCACTATACTCTAGGCATAGTGGAAGGAACTTAAGGGTGTGATAAACTGTACTATCTGGGAGATGTTCCAGCATTAGTAGAGGATTAAAAACAAATGTATATAACTATAAGGTTATATATAAATACCATCTGGACAGTATATGCCCTATGCTAAAGGAATTATGTGAAGGGAGAGGTCTATTTTGTCTAGATATTCCTTTAGAACTTCGCAGTTCAGTAACCACTTCAGGTAGAGCTTTGAAAGTAGTTCAGGTAGAGCTTTGAAGGATTGCAGCACTAAGGGGGAGCACATTCAAGAGAAGAGGACAGCAGCAGCTAAGTCACAGAAGATACCCATATCATAATTGCTGAATAAGACTTAAAGGAGGTCATTGTTTGTGCTAGGTTCCTTTATTGGGCCAAATAAGCTAGCCCAATATGGAATAACTCATGGTAAATACCAAATAAATAACTGAACCTTCATTTCTGCACCTGAGCTTCAGGCAGTTGTAGGCGGCCAGCTGATTCAAATCAAACACGATGTTGAGCTATAATCTATCAAGCTGTCTTTGTGCCTCAGTTTTGTTTTCTATCCATACCTACTGCTTGGTCAGTTTCTGGGAGGAGCTCTTTGAATCTCTTCTCATTCTAAGGACTGATTTAAGAATTGAAAGTCAATACTAATTAAGATCTTTAAGTTTGTTGTAATTGTCTTTTTGACATAATTAAGCTCATTCTTTAGGAATAGTCTGAATATGGTGCTGTTGATACTATCACTAAGATCTAGATGTCATAAATGAAATGAAATCTAGATTATTTCTTTTTCTTAAGTTAACTTATCATTTTCATTCACGGTTCAAGGTGTAGATCCCCATATCCAAATGATGTCCTCATACCATACTCTAAATACCAAAAGGTCAAAAGAACAAAACAAAACTCACCTTACACCTGTCATTTTTAATTTACATAATAAGAAATGGGACAATACTTCCTCACACAATAATGGTACACCAGACATGGGAAGGGACTCTAAATATTGAGAGACAACAACAAAAATCCACCATGACCCCCCATTATGATTTCTAATATTGTAGCTCTTCAAAACTGGGATAGATTGTTATAGTGCATTTGTCATCTTTCCTTTGTTGTGACTGTTTTAGTCTTTTTAGTTATGAGAAATGGTGCAGAAAGGAGTGTTGATTTGAAATGAAAGGCTGTATTTATTTTGACACAAATTTAATAATTATTTTTGGTACAAGTCATGAAGACTTTCTGTAAGCAGGTAGCTCAGAGTTTAGTAGAAGAGGCATTTATCAAACAATAAATTCTTGCTGAGAAGATGGCGTAGATTTTTTTTCCCTCACATTTAGTAGAGTTATAAGCTAGTCTTTGTTGAGCTCTAGCAAAAACAAGTTCAGGATATTGTTACACAGAGTCTGAAAATAAGAAGTGAATCAATTAATAAAGTCCCATGATTCCTATGACATGATAGGGGATAAAGTTTTGAAAATTACACTGAATGTTGTCGTCACTGAGGCTTGTGCAATGGCTGAGACGGAGAAGAGACTTCGGGAGAGAGAAGACATTTGGAATTTGGAATTGACCCAAACCATGGAATAGGAAGAGAATAAGGTCCCTTTGGCAAGAGGAATAAAACAGCCATCTATGAAGAGACAAGAAACTAAATTGACACAACTTCCACTCTGGTGTTTAGATATCAGAATCAGTACTTATATAAGGCAGATTTGAATGCCTAATAGTAATAATGATAACGAATCTAGTCTGTAGTTTCTCCTGGGTCTGCAATGTTAGCACCACCTTTACCTCTTAATGAGACCTATTTCTATATTATTTTTCACCCTAAATAGTTGAAGTCCTCACCTGGAACAAAGGTGTACCATCCCAGTATGGGGAACATTTATTGGTTAATTTCCCAGCATCAATGTCTTCCTTTTATCTTGCCAAAAGCATTATATTACTATTTGAATAATTCATCTTTCCTTTAATTTTCAGCTACATGGAGACTTTACAATTGATTCTACTCTTCAGCTCTAGGATACTGACATCTTGGCTATAGTCCTTGGTTTGAAGATGAGTATGTGATTAAATTTAAACCAATGAAATTTTTTCACTGTAACTCCTGGGAAAATGGATTTTGTTAATTCCCTCTGTTATGGACCAAACTGTATCCTTACAAATTGAAATGTGAAGCCCTAAGTCCCAGTAGGAGTATATTTGTAACTGGGCCTTTGTGTTAAGTTGGATTTTCAACTTGATTGGCTTGGTAGCCACCCAGGGGACTATAAAGAACACTTCTAGATGTGTTTGTGTCGGTCATGGAGGTGTGACCTTGGTGTCTATATCAAGGGTGCTCCCTTGTCTCTTCTGCCCTGGCTCTATTCCCCGGCTTTCCTTCCTTGCTGCCATGAACTAAGCAACTTTATCCTGCTGCGCCCTTCTGCTATGATGTTTCTGTCTTGGAGCCAACCAACTATGGACTGAATCCTCTGAGACTATAAGCCAAAATAAGTCTCTCTTTCTTTAAACTATAGGTGCCAGGTATTATCAATCAGAAAGCTGAACAGTACAGCCTTTAAGGTTAAATATGGTCATAAGTGTGGGGCCCGAACTGATATCAGTAGTGTCCTTATATTAAGAGGAAGAGACACAATCTCTCTCTCTCTCTCTCTCTCTCTCTCTCTCTCTCTCTCTCTCTCTCCAGTGTACACACAAAGGAAGACTATATGAGGACATAGCAGGAAGGGAAGGCAAATGGTCTGCAACAAAAGGAGGAAGACCTCACCAGAAAACAACCCTGATGATACGTGGTCTTGGACTTCCAGCCTCCAAAACTGTGAGAAAATAAATACAGTATGTTGTTAAGCCACCCAGTGTGATATTTTGTTGTGGTTACCTGAACAGACTACCCATCCCCTGTAGTTAAACTTTGTAGCCTAGTGCCTCCAGCTGCCATCTTGGGCTTATGGAGGAAAAGTCAGCTTGAGAATGGAATCAAAAGTAAAGGTGACAAATAGGGAGGGAGAAGACAGTCTTTATCATCCCACTTGAGCCCAGTATTCAGCCTTTCATGATGCTAGAGATATTCCTGTACTGTTTAGCTACTGCTCAGACACCTTTGATTTGTGGTTTCTTCTGCTTGCAACATAAAGAGTTCTAACCAGTACACTCAATAATACTTGTGTCTGAGTTTGAGTGTACTAAGCTTGTCGAGTTCCCATTCTACATTTACGATTTTATGAGCCTAACATTGAAATTTACCCACTTCCAGAGATAGGATGAATTCTTTGAGAACAAATGCCAAGTTAAATGAAAATTTTCAAGTCAGGGATTTTGATGCCTCCTGCCTTTCCTTTGTTGCCCAGGATTGCTTTTGCTATTCTAGGCCTCTTCTGATTCCTGATGAATTTTAGGAATGTTTTCTCTAGATCTGTGAGATATACTCGTGGTAATTTAATTGGGATTGCATTGAATCTGTATAATAATTTTGGGAGTATGGCCATTTGTAAGAACATGAAAGAGTAAATAAAACCCAAAATGTACAGTAGATAATATGAAAGGGAAAGAAATTGCTCAAAGGAAGGAACAACTGGGATGAGGGAAAGAAGAAAAAGAAAGTACTAAGGCATTATATATATATATACATATATATAGGTAAGTGGCATAACTACTGCTGATGTCTGGTAGTTTACTGAGGGGAACAGTTAATGCTTAAATTTTTTATATATTTTGACCAATTTTGCATGCTTCTGTCTGGTAATCTGAGCAATTTATGTGAAGACAACAATTTGCAGTATAACAACCACTGGTGAATTCCTACCATCCTGTCTAATGAAACTATGTGTTGTCTCTAATGTTCTTTTAAATTATTATTTTCTTATTTCCTTTAATGGTTTGATCAGTCTTCCATTCCTACATCTGCTAATCTGAGCAACTTCGTTGAAGATAACAATACGTAATGTAACAACCACTGTTAATCCCTACAATTTGGTTTGATATCCCGTATCATTTTTAATGTCCTTGCTTTGTTTTGTTTGTATTTTGCTATTTTTTTCTACTATTCTCTTTAAAATAAAAAAATGAAAAAGTTTCTCCTAAATGAAGAAGCCTTGTGAATAACACAGGAAAATAAGGGTTGAAGTAGCTAGTGTGGAATCCCTTTCTTGGCCCTGCTTCAGATTCCACCTCCCCATGGCACTTTAAAAAATTTTTTCAGGTGATTTTATTACTTTAGTCAGTTAGAATTAACACTGCATTCTTATATAACTTACAATTTTTACCTGCAAAGAACAGTACTTGCCCTTGTTAAAGATATGTACATATATAAAAACCAGTAGAGCACTAATTTTTGCAACTATTTACAAGACTGCAGTTGTTGCTTATGACCACCTACTTTTCAGTACCCGTTTTATATCCCTTTTATTTTCTGACAGTATTACAACTAATTGGGATTCTATATCCAGTAGAGTGACCCAAATCTTCACTGTTGAATAAAACATATTCACTAATTATGAATTATATCAATCCCTACTCTGTTGGCTTACATTTATTTAATTCAAGTCATAAAAGAATGGTGTACAATTTAAGATTTTAAGTTTTAAGGTCTTTCTGAGTGCTTGAAACAGTCACTGTGTGTGTGTGTGTGTGTGTGTGTGTGTGAATTCAGTAAAAAAAATAGGTGGTGGCTACTTTGATGTCATAATTCTTAGTTTATTGTATTTTATTTCTATAAAAAACAATGTGGGAGTACACACAATAGACAAGGAAAGGGATAAATCATCATCCCCAGGTAAGCAGCTGGATATACCTGTTTAGTAATTCAGCCCGTAAACTGCATCTCGCCTGTTGCCACTAGGTGACAGTCTTTCCAAATATTTTATATGATGGGGCATCGTTTTTGACATAGAAGTTAGATTCTGCTGGGAGAGGTGATTACTTGCTAGTTTTAGTTAGATTACTCCAGTGGGGGTGAACCTATGGTACACATGCCACAGTGAGCTTTTGGTATCAATGAGAGCTCTAAAAGGTTCGCCATCACTGGTTTAGCCCAGTGCACATATTTTTCATAACTGGCATGCTTTGTCGTTCGAGATCATGGTTATTCTTCATCTGGAATACTTTCTCTACTTCACTTGTCTCATCCTTATTTCTGTAGAGAGTCTATGACCAATGGCTTTGAATATAACATATAAACTGAGCACAATGGCATATGCCTGTAATCCCAGCTGCTCATAAGGTTGTGGCCGCCTTCTTAAGGAGGATCATACATTCAAGGCCAGTCTGGGCAACTTAATGACACACCATCTCAAAGTAAAGGGGTCATCGCTTTTTGGCCTTTTGGCTAAGGTCAAGTGTAGTATCAAAATAAAGGGGCCTGGGGATGCAACTTTTAGTTGAAGTTTGGGTAAAGCACTTGCCTATCAACATGAGCAAGGCCCTGAGTTCGATCCCCAGCACCATAATACATACACACATACATACATACACACATGTTCTGGACTCATCATCCAGGTTAAACTACAGGATCTGTTACTTTCTAGCTGTGGTTACTTATAACCAGCTAACTGGGCTTTCTAAACCTCAGTTTCGCTATGTACAAGAAGGGATAATGAAAGCACCCAGTTTAATTGAGGGTAATGAGGCTTCAATGAGGTTTTAATGGACTTTTAGTGTAATGTCACTAAATGTTATTCTTTATAATCAAGAGCATTTTCTCAGCTCTAATGCCACTCACTCTGTGATCACTTTTGGGGATTGCTAACCTAGGGCTTGTCCCCTGCCTACAGTTCATTGAACTCTTTGCTCTTCCTTGCTAATACCTATAATAGTTTGTAGTAATTTATGTCTGCCTTCCTCACTAAACTGTAAGCTCTTTCAAGATAAAGAAGGTCTATATCTCTTTTGTCTATTGCATTTTCTCCCAGAAAGTGCTACAGAACCTGGGACATACTAAGGGATTAAAGTTAAATTTGAAGAATGAATTTAAAAAGCACATTCAAATCTCTATTATTAAATGCAGTTCATTAATTTAAATTAGTAATCTATAAACTCTCAGATCTGAGAGGTGGAAGTAATTTGTAATAAAATTATTATTCTTAATACTGAGTGGAAAATGCTGAACATTTTTGAATCAGTTTATATGGGATAAATTATGCCTGGGACCATACACTGAATGAGTATTTTGGGACATTTCATACATTCTATAATTTTAATCACTTCACTCACCTATTAAAATATAGGTGTTCCTCAGTTAAAATAATATTTCTTCACTGACAATTTATGTATTGATGTTGTATTTGCAACGCAAGCATTTTATTTTATTATTTTTTGGTGATGGAACCCACAGTCTCACACAAGCAAGGCAATTGCTCTACTACCGTGCCACTAGACCTTAGCCCCTATAAAGCATTTAAGATGCACTAGACAACGTGGTATGAAAAGTAGCTCAACTGCAAAGGCCTATAAAATAAGGAATCCTTGGCTAAATTAATCACTTTGTGTAAATGGTAAGTTATGCATAGTAAGTTTTCTTAGAGGAAGAGCTATACTGGATGAACACAGACTCCTAAAACTCATGTTTTTCTCATATTTTACTAGGTCACAGATAGGTTTATTTATATCCTGAAAAATAAATATAGCACATATTGTTTTATTGATTTTCCCAGGTAGAAAAGTGTGCATAATTTCAATAATCTTTAAAGTTCTTTAGTTATGAAGTGACTGACCTCATAACAATGAAGAAGATCCAGAACAGTCCGAAGAAATGTTAGAAAAATACAATAATTTCTGGGAGATAATTTTGTGTGTCCAAAGTTTTCTCAAAGCCCAAGAAATGAATGTTTGGTGAGCTTGACATTCTCAGTGCACATTGTCAGAACTCCATTTCTTTCTATCGTGGTGGTAAAACTTCATGCAGTCCTGTTCATAGATGTGCCCCTTTCTTTGTCCTTTCTGGGACACACTAGGGATTAAAGTTCAATTTGGAGAATGAATTTAAAAAGCACACTCTTTCCTGGTTCTGTTTAGTTCTTTACTGTCTGGCAGGACGTTGGGACCCAGGCTTTTCCACAAATGATCCCATTAACCCACCCACAATGCACTACATGCTGCTGGCGTATTTAGCCACTTTTGATATATTGGTTAGTCTTGTGAAATACTTCCCCGAAATGAAGTTCTGGAACTCATCAGGTGTCTTCTCTGACAGTCATATCTTCCTCCGGCTCTCAGATTTCCCAAACAGCTGGGGTGAAGCCCATATCCTCCCACAAAGAATGCTTCTTTCGAAATTCAGATCTATGGGCTTTGGCACTAAAGTAATATTCTTTCATTTTCACAGACTGTGTTAGATCAGGGCTGAATAATGTCTTATGGGTGTGTAACCTTTGAAATGTTGGAGGATGAACAGTTCCAGGGATCAGTGTGCATTTAGCAATTTGCAAGAAAGGTCAGTGTCCCCTATGACTACACTTGGATCAGTAAGGTCCACATTATATTTTTGTCTTATGAATCTAAAATCTAAAGGTTGGCATCACCCTTACCCTTCATGTCAAACAACTTGCACATAGAATCTCTGTATAAGAGCAAAGTATGGCTTCTGAGTTACATTGGAGTACAACTATTGTTATTATTAAATAGTCATGGGTTACCTAACAACCAGGACCCATTTTGAGAGATACATCATTAAGTGATCTTTGTGACTGTATGAACATCACAGAGTATACTTAGCCCAACCTAGATGGTCTAGGTCAGTCACTCTGTGTGACGCCCTTGATGCAAAAGGACAGATGACACTGCTGACAGCCTAACATAGCACATTACTTATAGCATCTTAAAAGGCTCCCATTCTGATCCATTT